ATTGGGCCGAACAGTCTTCTTTGACTTCGTACAGCAATTGGTTGGCCCCTTGGTGGCTCTTCGATGCGGGTGTCTTCCCGGGCTGTTGGCGATGATGCACGCCTAATGTCATCGTTGCCTTCTATCTGTTCCCACTGCTTCGTTGTGCGGGCCGTAGTGGCCGCCACGGGCAGGTGTATCCCTCCCTCGGGGGAGCAGTATGGCGCCTCAGCGCCCTCTACCGTTGACGGTGAGTGTGGTGGCATCTGGTGGTGGACGGCGGCGTTATTGGCCGACGAACCTCTTTCCAGACCGACTGTCCACGCCTTGACTTCCCTACCTTGCGAATGGGTGATCGGCATCTTGATTCTGAAAATTCTGCGGTTTTCATACGGTGGTGACTATGTATCCGGTTTCGAAATACAAACGGATATATCTGGCTCGAAGGACCATCGAATGTGCCGGACGGGCGAAACTCTTCGGAGTAAATGTTGTCGAAGATACTTCGCGAGTCGCTCACGTTCTACACCTATAGGTTCCGGAGAATACTTCCACTGCCGTCTTTGTGGGTGCCGCTGAGATATTGTAGACCGAGATTCAAATCAAAATGCACGATTTATAAATACAAATAGCAAGGTAGTGGCCAGCGGTTCGACTGATTGATTAGTCGCGAAATTTTATAACTATTGTTTATTGACCACGGTTGTTCAACTACGGTTGTTCACTATTGGTTGGTCACTGTATATTTTTAAAAGATTTCTTTAAATCGTACGGTAGTATCAAATATCTATTGGTAGTAGCTGGTTTTCTAACACTCCTGACTAACAGCAATTATCAACTAAACTAGCTGATTTTATCACTTGTGTAACTGCGGATATCAGTTACCACTTTCACTATATGTAACTGCGAATATCAGTTACGACCTTTTTCGGCTAGCTAACACTTTCACTATATTATGTAACTGCGAATATCAGTTACGACCTTTTTCGGCTAGCTAACACTTTCACTATTTATGTAACTGCGAATATCAGTTTCGACCTTTTTCGGCTAGCTAACACTTTCACTATTCACTATTTGCTGCTATTAGTCACTTCAGCTACTACCGGATACTACTGCTTGTCACTGGTAGTTCTTCACACTACTACCCTACTGGGTCCCGAGCCCCTAAGGTAGACTTTGGCTATACCTTACAGTGAGCCACTTGCCATTTTCCGTTTTGCTTCTTTATTGCATAAACTTTTCACTATGCAAATGGCATACATTACAATATTTTCTATACAAAACTAATTGCTACACTAACATGCTATACATCATCAAATCGGTAGTCTGGTACTTTATTAGTATATCATAAAGGTTACTCAAAACATTAACATTGTAAAAAGTTATTAAACAAAATGTCCCAAATTTTCATAATATTTGGGTACATTAATTCTTTGATTTTTCTATAACTACCAAATGCGTTTAATTATACAATATATTCCTACACTTCCTTAACCTATAAGCCATAGAATTATTTGGCTTAGAACCGCAGCAGGTGAACGCAAAGTAAGGCCGTTTCAAGTTAGCCTTTTAAGGCTAAGTACGACTTTCAGCGTGTCAGTACTCGAGTCCACGTAGTCGTGTAAAGAGCTCGCGGCATTTTGTAAAAAAACAACTTACTGAGCTTTAAAAGGGTGTCACAACTCATCGTATAATCATGAAAAAAATCTAAAAATGTCATTTCACTGGTAATTACTGCCTAGCATCTTATTTTTTTTATAAAAAACATTCATCAAAACAAAATAATAAATCTTAAATTTGACAGACGCCAATATAATGAAAATGTTGCTAGGCATAGTAATATATTTTACCCCATATTTTCTTATTATTATAATTACATACTGCCAATATAGGGCTATTATTGTTGTAGTTTTATTTGACAAATAAAAATACCTACTATATTCACGCATGAGTTGGTATTTTTAACTGCCAAATACTATTACGGTTCACACTTGCCAAGAAAAAAATGTGTTTATTATATTTGTTTTTGTTAATGTGCAGTTATTTTTATCTTTTTATAGTATGTGTTTTAGGATAAATACCCTATGAACATTTTTTTAAATAATGATTTACATACCTTCGCCATTTCCTAAAAAGACGAAACGTTTTGCCACTAGCCAACAGTGGAGTATTAAATTATGGTAAAGACAGTAGTTAACGTTAAGCCAAAATAGCACAAAAATATTTATTTTGTTTTAACGAAGTGAAGTTGATAATAACGTGATTATTATTGCCAATTCAAACGTATTCGTTTTTAGATTTTCGTTACGTCCGGCTGTTGCTGCTCAACAGAGACCACCCACCCTACGAGACATGAAACCACTACGATTTTCTAATTAAGGTCAAGGTAGTCAAGGTTAGAAGAAAGAAAGGTGTGCGGGTGGCGCGTGAGATGTAACGTAGAGATGTGTCACATCCATAAATCGTACGCGTAAATATGGGAGACTATGAAAACGTGACGTAATTTTAAACAAATTAATGATGCATAAAATACACCGTTTAATAAAAGTAAAGTTCTTTAAAATATATACATGTATTTTACATGTCTTTTACAACGCTAATCGCTTACCATAAATCCGTTAAGAGCAGAATGTGCCTAAGAAATACACAAACATAATACATACTCTCGAAAACCATGACTTTGTTTCGGCCTCGGCCGCAACGGTCAGGTGAAAATATCTACAAAAATAAAATTAACGTAATATAAAAATGTAAACAAAAAATACCTTTATTTTTTTAATTAGGGTTTGTAAAACTGTAATTTGGATTTCAAATTATAATTAAGTACATATAGATTAATATACACAAATATAATAGTATGGCTGTTAGTCTACACAAAAAATAATAACACAATAAATAATCGATAAACTTGCATCACACTTTTTTGGGCATTTCTACTTACACGTGCCGCCTGCAGCCCCTCTGATTGATAGACAGAGACGCAACTATAATACTGCGTTCTTGACAGGGACAGCCTCAGGAACTATGACCAGAACACGTTGAACCCTCACGGTTTTAGTATTTTAAGATTATTAAATGATGCATTTATCTGTGAAACGTGACTTTATCCTTCTTGAAATTACGTTTCCTGCTATCACTATCACACCACTTTACTGTGCAAGTGGGCATGTGTTACTGTTTTAATTTTAAAAAAAAATTGTAGTGCTAAGGACGCAGTGCACAGGTCTGTATTCTGGTCACTACTAAATAGGGTAGCGTTCGCGTTCAACTGTATAGGCTCTGGTTGAGCAGGTGAAGTACAGAAATTTGTCGCCTTTCGTTACATGTCTCGTAGGCTAGGTGGTATGTGCTGCTCAATTAATTGAAAAAATTAGACTTAATCGTAAAGAAAACTAACGAAAACAAACTAATTTACGTTTCTAATGAAGTTTACTCCATTTGTAGTATTGCTGAAAATAATCTGCGAAATCATGTTAAGCATAATGCACAGGAAAACAATTCAGAGAAAGAGCTATCTCTCGAAATTATTGCCAAACTCGTTGGTCGTTCTCTATTTCCTATCGAAGAGCACATCAATTCTCAACATCACGACACAAATCTGGCGCGGCTTATTGTAGAACGTTATGTAAGAGTTCGATTCTTATATGAATCCAAAAAAAGATAATATTTCGCGGATAGCATCATCAAAGCGGCAGTTATTTAGAAAACAGTTGCAGCTGCAGGGTTATTACTTATTAAGTAAGAGACGTTTAGTTTAAGTACTGGGGTATATAGTTATTTATTAAATATTTTTAGTTTCGTGTTTTATTTGAATAGTTTTTTTTCTCCTTCCGAATCTTATTTTGTTTTAATACAAAACGCCTATTCAAAAAAAGTATATCATATATTTATATAAATATATAATACTATATACTTATATAAATATATCTTTTCTAACAGAATAATATAATCACATAATAATTTTGTGAATATTATTATAGCATGTGATATTACGTATATAAATAATTTTAATAAAATATTAGTTAACAAATATAAGTAATTTTATATTTCTCTCTTTGTAAATTATTAATAAATAATTATAAACGCAACCTAAATATAAATTTTACGACTATGTCTACTATTACACTTTGCCCATTTTTGGGGAAATCGTCATTTACTTGCATACATTACTCATTTGCTTGCGTGCGTGCGGGCAAACGTAATTACAGGCCGCTTATGCACACATTCATTGGGTGCGTTTGGCAGAAAAAAGCGCTAGAAGTTGGGTAAGCGTGTGAAGATTTTAGAGCGGGGTTTGTTTGTAATTGTATGTATATGTTTATTCATGTCATTATATTACTTAAAACTAATATTGCACAATTTTCTCTACTTCAAAACAAACAAATTAAGCAAAATGGCGGATGTGTAGCGCTTGAAGTGCGTTCGGCGAAAACTGCTTATGCGCTTGCTGCGCTTTTTTCTGCCAAACGCACCCATTTGTTGTTGCTTCAACTTTGAACGGAATTTTGAATGACACTATCACTCCAAGACTAATTACTCTATGCTATAAGCCATATGCTAATTCAATGTCATATCTACAACTCTTTTAGAACATAAAATTATTTTTATTATTTTTAGTATGAACTATTACGCAGTTAATTAAAACCATCTAGAGAGTTCTACGATAAGACGCGCTGCGATTGGTCGATTTTTCTGAATACAATAAAAGTTGTTTGCATCACTTGTTATCAAAACGACATTCTATACAAATATACTAAGAGTTATAAACATGCTACACAACTATATTAATACACGTTTTCACCCAGTTTTGTCGGTAATTTCACTATTAATACAAAAACAATATTATTTGTCACTTTATTTCTTAGCGTTGTTAGGCCGTCGCAAACAGTTTTAATATTAAAAAGAATACTTTAAAAAATGTCTATGCCATAAACATCTACTTCGTTCACCTAACATGCTATTTTTTCTTCATGGTAAAAAAATCAATACATCATACGTTAGTAATAAAAAGTGTTTTGCAGAACAGAAAAGTGACCAAGAGACGAGCGCTTTACTACAAAATATATTCAACACATATAAAGAAGAACCGCCAGTTGAAGTGGAAGATGCGACAGGTTTAACCCAAGGTAAGATGAGAGTGCGTCCTCTCCTCTACTTCTGTCTTAATCCTCAAGAATAGCTCATCCATATTGATATCCTTATAGCCGATATTTTACCAAGACCACAGATCTTGAATCCTGAAGAATTCGAAGTCTGTCCTCCGCGTAAGGGATATTATAGTATTTAAGCTGCCATGTGATGGTAGTGTCTCAGAATCATCATCCCGTTTCATCCCGTGTGTGTCGTAAGAGACGACTTTAGTAAAGATCTACCTCATAAAGATCGCATAGCTTCCGACAGATGGCGGTAGTATATCTAACAGGGTGCAATGCCGTGCGGCGGCGTCACCCGTCACCTCATCTCGTCCCGTTGGTGTCATAAGGAGAGACTATATGATACGCCAAAAGATCTGATGACTTCGAATAGACGACGGTAAAACCACCTTATTAACGCCAGACGTGAAATAATAAGTACTTGCGGTGGCGGTGTAAGAATATGCACTACTCCATATTGCCTTGTGGGTATCGTAAAAGGCGACAGAGGGGATGAGCAGCAGCATCTTCCTGATAACCCGCTCGACAGGCGCGTCAACTGTGGCAAAATCTCCCTTATGACACAATCCACGGGAAAGCCCCATGATCAGTTCAGACTTTTGTAGGCTGTAATGGATGAATGAATGGTGACTTACCCAGACCGGCGAAAATTCTCCTGTCAAACAGAACGTTTAAGGGAAATTCTCTCTTCAATCGCGGAGTCTAATGTCCAGTAGTGACTCTTACCAGCTGAAGAAAGAAAAGTCTCGTCACCAACGACAACTTGTCGTGAATATGTCATTATCATCATAATTACCTAGATATTTTTTTTTATAATTTGTAGAGCCACGCTGCAGCTATAATATGGTTGTAGCAGGAACGGGTCAGCTCAACCAGATCACAGAATACCAATGTGAAATTACAGCTAAATACGTGTATACGTGGTAAAGTAATGCTGCGGTTATATTAGAAGTATAGTTGTAGCACGAATGGGTCGACTCGACCGGGAAAGGACCACGCTCCCACAGTATACCAGCGTTAAATAGTAGCTTAATGCAGCTGTGTTTCGTATGGTCAGTGTAGAGAACCGGAGACCCTTATTACTGGAAACGAGGCATTACATCTTTGTTCTCACGGGTGACAACTCGTAATCGAGTATAGATGTAGATGTTTATGAGCCATAGCAACCACTTACCATCAGGTGGACTGTGTGCTCGTTTGTCACCCTATCCTATAAAAAATACTGCTGTGTTTCGAATGGTGAGTGTGGAGAAACGGAGACGCTTTTTACTTGAAACGAGGCATTGCATCTTAATCCTCATGGGTGACAACGCATCTGCATTTTGAATCTTAATCGAGGATGTCAATGGGCCACAGCATCCACTTACCATCAGGTGGACTTTGTCCTCGTTTGTCACCCTTATTATATAAAAAAATCCTTGAGTATTTTTACAGTCTTACTTTTCATGTCATATATACGTTCAATTGCTCTCCAGCTAGTATATAAACCCTTCCAAAACAATAGAAAAGACAAAAAATGTTTTAAGGTTGGGTTTAAAAAGCAAAATAAAAATCCATTTATTTGAAATCTGAAAATTCGGTTTTGTCGCAAATTCTTCGCTTTGAAGTTTCTATCGACACAGGCCTAAGCCTGAGAAACCCAGACCTTATGCCACAAAATATCAATGAAGGAAGGAAGGAAAATATGGGGTAACTAAATTTGTGGTAAAAACTTAAAAGAAGGAAAAATGTATTAGGACGATGTTTTAAAAAATGAAATAAAATAAAGTTGATTTTTCTTGCAATTTTAGAAAAAATTATACGAGTGAAACTTGATTATATTTTGCTTTTTCCCTAGGATGTCATTAATTTGTCCACTCGTTGGTGCCCGCTTAACGTTAAACTTTGAGACAACTTGTATAAATGCATGTATAAAATTTGTGCTTAAACAAATTTGAAAGTGTAACTATTAGGTAGTCTCTTATAGAAATAAATATTTTTCTAAACAAAAATATTTGTTTCGACAAATAAAAAATATTTGTTTATGTGCGTATGTGTCTCTCCTCTCTCTCTCTCTCTCTCTCTCTCTCTCTCTCTCTCTCTCTCTCATTCACTCAGTGCCATTTTCAATCTTTAAGTCCTTTATGTGGATTCTACCTAGGATCATTATCAAATGTTCTGTTTTACTCTCAGAACCCCAGAATGATGATGAAGCGACAACTTTCCTGGTGATGAGTCTGTTCCAGGACAAAGAAACCCTGCTTAAGAAAGGTAAGGTCTCGATACTAATCAAAATATGTTTTTTTTTTCTTTTCTCTGCATAGTGTAAAACATAATTACATCGTAACGTCAAACACCTCAGATACCCCGTGACTATAAGTGCTCTAAGGCACCCGAAACTTCGGGAATTAACACTTACATTTCGACGTTACACAAATTTAGATATTTTACTCACCGAGCGGGCGGCGAACTACGCGAGCGATACTTTGTTACATAATATATATTCACTCGGTCTCACAATGATACTGTAATGTCTTGATCTTCCATAATATAAATTTTCTTAGGATGGAGTTCAGTGGATGAAAAATTTTTGTTGTGTTTTTATGTTATTTAATTAATTCATTATAATCTATTTTGATATATATTTCATTATTTATGAACTTTAGTGTCGACATAAATATTTTAAGTGCTACGCAGTAATCGATTGTTAACCGATGTTGCTAAATAATCGATTAAATCTGTTAACGGTAACACAGTGGTATAAATAAATAAATAATATGGTTGCAACTTGTTCTAATAAATAAAACAACCAAATGTAACAAATTTTTTTAATCGGTACTTACAGTCAATTACTTTATTTTTATTACCATATTTTTATAATAAAAATATTATTATTAATATTATTAGACTGAGCTTATCTCGAGTCGATAATTTCAGGCAATACACACTTTCATAAAACGCTTGTAACTTAGGTAACATAATATTTAATATCCAAAATTGATCGCCTTTGTAGATTTTTAGCACTTTTACCAGTAGTCCATATGGCATGCATGCAGATATTTTTACTCTCCATTATTATTTCTCCAGAAATAGGATATTTCTTTTTTTGTGTTTAGTGACGCATTGATACTTGTATTTATTTTTGCCCATACCGACTGGTAAAAAAGCTCAGCTACAATCAAAATAACTATAATGAGTTAACTATCTGGTATAATAATAATGTGCCAACTTCATACTAATTGAAATATACTGTATGAATTAAATACTTCCAACGATCAAAAACTGCGGGCATAGTGAATGCTCTAGCACGCACAAAATAGCAGCGCCTATACGGCAATCTACGCAAACGTCGATAGTATCGAAACGACGCAGCGCGCGAAATTAATGACGCAGGTCCAACTCTTATATTAAGGTGAATCCCTGACCAAAATGTTGCGAAAGTGCGTTTTTCAGACTCTATTATCTCATTAGTTATGAAAAATAAACTACATCTAAAAGTACATTATTAATGTTCGATATCTTATCATCGCATTCCACGTTCTAATTTATTTTTATGTGCTATAAATACATTTAAAATCAACTTTTAAAAAATGACTAAAATTCTTGATTACATGCATCTGTTGCTAAACGCAACGCTCTAATCATTTGAGGATAACACTAATGGATAGATAATTAAAAAATCTATATTCTCCACGTTTTATTTAAATTTTTAAGTTCGTTTTTTTAATTGAAATAATTCCGAAAATTGTGTGACGTCTATGATAAAGGGGCGTGCGCAGAGTGCGGGCGGCATTACGCTGTATGCGTTAGTAGGAGGTGGCCGCGTCGCTGGTCGCCGCGCGTCCGTATTTCGCCACAAACATAATATTATTTGAGTACCTACCAACCGATGCGCTTACGTCACGGTATATTGTAACTCGGCCGTATCTTAGAAATAAATATTACAGCCGTGCGGTACGTAAACATGCGATAGGGATGCCTGCCTCCAGCATTTTTACATTTGCCCATTGATTTATGTGTTTTATAACTCAATGCATTTTCCTACTTTGTGTTTCCATTTAGTTTTATGATTGTACTTAAATATACTTTTTTATATAAACAAATATAATAGGTACTTTGTGAATTGAATAGGAAGTGTTCAATAAAAATGCGTGTCGTTTTATGATTGGTAGATTTAATTAAAAAACCATGTTTATGTTTGAATAACAAATCGGTCTTATAAATTTGCGGCCGAAAAATATTTGCGCCTCGGCTGAGACGTACGAAATGCTTTATTATTAAAATTTTAAATATAAAAAATCCGCATTATAATACAAAGCTTAATTAAAAATTGTTTTGGGAAACATGGACAAGTTGGAGTAAAGGAATATCTTTTACTTGGTTATAGATACCTGCATCTACTTTACAATTTATATGTTTGGTTTTAAATGAAGTTTGGATTTATTATTTTTTTATTTTTATTCTATTTTCTGAAAGGGTCCTAGGAAAGGAATTATCACTGCGTGTTGGCGAACTTTGCATGTCTTCGAAATATTTTTTTTCTTATTTCTCAGACATGCAGGTTTCCTCACAATGTTTTCCTTCACCACTGAGCACGTGGTAAATAACACTTAAAATTGCAATTACAATATTATTGGTGCCGGCGGGGCAAGCGCTAACCATCTGAGCTACCACGGCTCCTCTCCTCTCGAGCTAGAGACTTTATTTTATTTATCGTCAGGCCTGTTGGTCTAGTGGTTAGTGACCCTGACTGCTATGCTGCAGGTCGTGGGTTCGATTCCCACCCAGGACAAATGTTTGTGTGATGAGCACGATCATTTGTTCTGTGTCTGGGTGTAATTTATCTATAATATTTATGTATTTAGAAATATACAAGTATGTTTATCAGTTGTCTAGTACCCATAACACAAGCTCTGCTTAGCTTGGGACTAGATGGCGTTGTGTGATAGTTGTGGAATATTATTATTATTAATTATTATTATTGGGGTATCTGTATAGTTTCTCATCTGGTTGGTTTTTATAAATATAAATTAAAATGAAAAGATAAATATACATAAATATCAATAAAATAAAATAAATACAAAAAATATACAAATAAATAAAGATCCAACCATATTAAATAAAAAATAGTCTCCTATCTTTCTCTCTATGTTTTGATCTCCTAAAACGAGTTTGAGTTGGTAAAATCAAGGCAAACTTAGGGTAGGGTTGTCAATTATTATTTTGATAATAAAACTAGTGAAATTCCGCGGTTTTATATGCGCAAGCGTGAACGTAGTTAGAACATAATATAACCTTTATGTTTTACATAAATATCCTAAAAAACTTATTATTTTAATATTTTACTAAGTACCTATAAAATTAACAAGTTTATTGCATTTTTATTTGAGTAATTTTTTATGCAATTTCTTTATCTACGTCTATTTTTAGGAACCTTTATTTAGTCTGAATCATACATAACACTATATTACTGATTTACTTACTTATAAGTAGTTTTCTTTTTTGCAGTTACAAATATCTTGTGAGGTGAAAAAGGCAGTAATGAAAAAATAATAAGAATAATAATAATTGACGTCAGCCACTTCTTTTCATAAAAATTTCAGATCATGGTCCATTAGGTTGCAGCTTCACCGAACCACAACTTATAATAATAATAATAACAGTAATAATATAATATTATTTTGTATTTATTTTATTTTATTGATATTTATGTATATTTATCTTTTCATTTTAATTTATAATTTTTATATATTTAAATATTTATATAACCGAACCAGATGAGAAAATTATACGGCTCCAACGATTTTAGCGACGAACGCTTGGATTTATTTTTAGAAAATGTCCTTTTGTCCATGTTTTCAGGCAATAAAAAAACTGTTACAATATAAGAAGGTAAATTTCGACAAATCACTAACGGTCGTTATAGCTCAGGTGGTATGTCGGTCGGGCGTGATATCGGAGTTCCGTGGTTCGCGTCTTGGCTTTGGTCCCGCTTTTTTTTTCCTTTTTTTTCAAGTTCTCTTCTTTTGTGATAAAATCTATTATTTCAAACCCTTTTTTTAGTAATTTTTAAAAATACGAAAATATTAATTTTAAAAATTTAAAAAAAAAATATCTATTTATTTACTAATGCTATATTTATTATTTTAATAATTACCTACCCAGTAGGTAAATATTAAAATAATAAATGTAGCATTATAAACAGTAAATCTCCCTCAAACTCAATTTACTAATATAAAAGCAGATAAAAGATTAGTAGGTAATAACTATTGCTCCTCAAAATTATTTTTGACCTCAAGGTAAAACATATCCTAAAATTCAGAACCTTAAATAAAATAATAATACATACTATTCAAGTATATTTTCAATATGTAAGTAAATGAAAATAACAAAAATGAAGCACCATTAGCATGTAAAGTTCGAATCCATAATTAATATTTCGACAAATATTATAATTTACACTATAAAAAGCTAATTCAATATTAGCAGTATAGTATATAGTTAAAAATAATCAAAATAGTCTTTTTTATTAATTAGATAATATATTAGAATACATAATTCTAATATAATGCAACTAATATATCGAATAAAGAAAATTAAAATACATTTATCATTGTACGCCGTGTCTATTTCCATAGAATAGTTCATTGACATCGAAAAAATAATACTACGTTCGTAGCAGTAGGTGGCGTCTTTTGGCGATTTCTTACGCGATATATTATAGCGAGCTTCGACAGACCAAACGCTCAAGGTCGTTCGCTGGAGGTAGCGCCTTAAATAATAATCTCGGATAGCCGGCGCAGTGAAATATATGGCACTTTTATTTAATAAATTAAAAAATAATAGTAACGATTTCAAAGGTAAAAATAATAATATAATTTAAGCAAATATTGATGATTACTTTGGTATAAATTTTGCTTCAAAGTGATGTAGAACTTTGTAAATATTGGGGCTTGTATCGAAGCTTCTTCGATCGTTAATTGAAATATTAATTTTTTTCCTCGCGTGATAGGCATATAACGAAAAAGTATTCTATTATTATTAAAGTATAGGATTGTAAAATAATTTTTTGATGGTCGATATTCAATAAAATCTCAAATTAGAACTCCCAAATCATGTCTCAGAGAGTTTTGGCCTAAATATGAACCGGGAGAACGATTATTACTAAATAAATAAATAAGCTATCTAAAATTTGCTCTGTACTTATTAGTCAAGAAAACGAACTATTTTTATAAATTTATTTAAAACAAGAAACGAAAAATATACAATTT